AATCTCAATCTCTTCACCATCCATCCTGATGCTGCCGATTGGTCCAGTGGTGATATCAGTCATAGCAACCATATAAAAAACAGATCTGGACCCTCTTCTATCCTGTGACATCCTCATTTTTGACAAACTCAAGTTCATTTCAGTAATCATTGTGCCAATCCATCTGGTTGAATTTATTCCTCTCTCTTGCCAACCCTTTCGCTTTCCAAGCGTGATCTCCCTTTCTAATGAATAGACTCTCCTGAAAACATGCCCAAAGTATGTGAGACAAAGCTCTGTGTTTAAGAAACACCTGGTTGTACTTTTTTCAAGATACAGCTGTTTGTTTTTGGCAGTCTACGGGATATTCAGTACTCTTCTCCAACTTCACAACTCAAAGGCATCAATTCTTCTGTTATCTTCATCCATTGTTCAGTTCTCAGATGCATAGTAAGTTGTTCTTATGTACTTGGGAGAGGTCCCTAACACCAGACTTGCCCAATGCAATATGTCTCCTGATCTCCTGATTGCTGGTACCAAAGATGTTGTTAATCCAAACAAAATGAAATCACTGACAATTTCAAACCAATCTCCAACTATCTTGTGTTATATATTAGCCCAGTGGTGGGAATTTTTATTTTCTTGATGTTTAGATGTAATCCATATTAAAGGTTTCAGTCCTTGATCTTCTGCAGCAAGCTTTTCATGTCCTCCTCACTTTTAGCAAGCAAAATTGTGTCATCAGCATAATGCAGGTTGTTGATAAATCTTCCTCCAGTCCTGATGCCATGTTCCTCTTCATAAAGTCCAGATTCAGATAAATCAGTATACAGATTGAATGTTTAGAGACTAGATACATCCCTGAAACACACCCTTTCTGATTTTAAACCATGCCATTTTAAACCATGCCAACCCTCACTCAGTAAAAGTTCATTAAAAATACTAAGGAAACAGAAAAAACAAAAATGGACCTCAGAAGCAGCAATGAAAATTGTACTAGAGCATTGAGAAGCTTAAACAAAGGGAAGAGAGGTCAAAGTAAAAGAGCTGACCAGTTAAGCTAAATATTATAAAGAAATGTCAAAGAACTGATGTCAGAGGATATAAAAAGGAAGAACGCATTTGGCACTTTTCAAACTGAAAGAACTGCAAAAAAAGGCCTCAATTTGCAATAAGGAGAGATACTGTGAAAAAAAAATGTTCTAGGACACAGCAAAAGAATATGACAGGATACAGAGTCACTGTACCAAGTAGTATTTGTTGACACAGGAAAATTTCAAAAAGTACCATATAGGAAGAATTTCAAGGTGAAGGCATTGGTAAGAAAATAAGGCCCCAGGAATTTATAGCACTTTTCACTTAAGAGATGGAACCCTCGACATACTCACTAGTCTATGCCAGGAAATTTTGAATACACTTGCCTTTTCAACTGACTGGAAGAACCCCATATTTGTTCCCAGTCCCAAAAAAGATGATTTGTAGAATGTGGAAATTATCAAACAATATCATTAATATCACATGCAAGTAAAATATTGCTGAGGTTTATCCAAAATGGGCTAAATCATTATATTGACAGAAATTTCCAAAAGTTCAAGGAGATTTTAGAAGAGGCTGTGACACCAGGAATATCATTACTGATGTCATTTAGATTCTGGCTGAAAGCACAGAATACCAGAAAACTGTCTATATGTTTCATTGACTATGTAAAGGCGCTTGTTTGTATGAATCATAATAAACTATACCTAACATTGAGAAGAATGGAAATCTCAAAACATCTTAATGCATAAACAGATGCAATAAATAATAAGATACTTAAATTAACACAGCAATTTCATTTCTAGGTATATCCACAAAAGTCTTAAAAGCAGAGACTTCACAGGAAACTTTTACACTTGTATTCATTGAAACAATGTTCATAACAACCAAAATGTAGAAACAACCTAAATATTATGAATACACTACTCAGCCAATAGGAAAATTGAAGTCTAGTATGTATCCAGCTTAAAGACATTATCATTGTAATTGTTGTTATGAACCCTCAGGGTAACTGACTCATTGCTGAACATTGAGTGGATTTAAGATGCCATATATCACACAATTTGATATTATCTGTCTATCTTAATTCAGTGGAGCAGCTTGTGGACTTGAACCATCAGTATTTGGGTTGGTAGCACAACTCTTTACCACTAATCCACTAGATTTCCCTTTAATGACATTGTTGTTGTTGTTGTGTACTATAGAGTAAGAATTGACCAGTAACTGACCCTCCAGTGGGTTTTCGGAGGCAGTTAATAGCATGAAAGAAGATCGCTTATACTTACTTATCCCACAGAGCAAGCATCTTCAAGTTGATAGGACACCTTCTTATCACTAGGCCACTCCCTTAAAGATAGTAAACCAACCATAGGAGGACAAATATTGTATGACCTCATTCATGTAAAAAGATAACATTTATAGGTGGCTATCAAGTGTAAGAATGAGCAAGAAAGGAGAAAATAACAATGATGAAAATTTACATTGATTAAAAGTAGGGCTGCTCTTGTTTGGTATGATCCAGTCCGCAGATATAAACTATGTCTCCAATCTGTCTTAACTTTGGAAGTCAAATTTCTGTCATTTTAATCATGATATTTTTGTAAAATCACTTTATCACAGAAACCAAATGCTTCAGAAAAATAAAATTACATTTTTTAGAGAACAAAAACAAGGGAGCTAATTAGATATTCTCTAATGTTTCTTAAATAAAATGCCCCATGTCACCTATGGATCTTATAAAAATGTAAATTTATACCCTATGTCCAAGGACAGTTCTTGTGATATACGGCTATTTTCTAAATTACTGAGTAATCCAGTAATCATATGCTATTGTTGTTGTTAGGTGCCTTTCAGTTAACTATGACTCATAGAGACCATGTGACCAACACATTTAAACATTGGCATATCTTGCGTCATCATCACAAACTCAACATCATGCCCAAGCACACTGTTGCAGTTACTAGTAGTAATCCATCTCCTTGATGGTCTTCTTTTTCACACTTCCTCTACCTTTCAAGGAATGATTGCTTTTTCCAAAGAGTCAATGTATATGAGATGGAGATTTACCATTTTTGCCTCTAATGTACACCCTAGTTGTGCTTATTCCAAGACTGTTTGTTCTTTTGCAGTCTATGTAATATTTAGTACTCTTCACAAACACTACAAATCAAAGGCATTACTTTTTCCTTTAGTCTTCCTCATTCATTGTCCAACTTTCACAACTATGTGGAGAAATTGAAAATACCATGACTTGAATCAGATACATCTTAGTCTTTAAACTAGTGTCCTTGCTCTTTAGCATTTTAAAGAAATTCTGCAAAATAGATTTATCCAAAGCAATTCTTTTATTTTTTGACTGCTGCTACATGTGTAGAACAGACAATTACTGTAGTTGTTACCAATAATTTAAGAGACGTTTGGAGGCCTAGTGGGTAGAGAGTTGCACTACCAAGAGTTGCCATCCATCCTGATGCTACAGATTGGTCCAGTGGTGAGAATCTTTGTCTTCTTGACATTGAGCCTCAGTCCATATTGAAGGCTGCAGTCCTTGACCCTCTGCAGTAAGTGCATGAGGTCCTCCTCAGTTTCAGCAAGCAAGGTTATGTCATCTGCATAACGCAGATTGTTGATAGATCATCCACCAATCCTAACGCCACGCTTCTCCTCATAGAGCCCAGCCCCTCGGATAATCTGCTCTGCATACAGGTTGAAAAGGTGTGGAGATAGGACACATCCCTGACGTACACCCTTCCCAATTTTGAACCATGCAGTGTTGCCCTGCTCTGTTCTGACAACTGCCTCTTGATCCCAGTACAGGTTTTGCATTAGCATGATTAAATGTTCTGGGATTCCCATTCTTCTCAGAGTCAGCCACAGTTTGTTATGATCCACACAGTCAAATGCCTTTGCATAATCAATGAAACACAGATAGGCATTCTTCTGGTATTCTCTGCTTTCAGCTAAGATCTATCTAACATCAGCTACAATATCCCTAGTACCACGACCCCTTCTAACCCAGCCTGGACTTCTGGCAGTTCTCTGCTGATGTACTGTTCCAGTCGTTTTTGGATAATCTTCAGTAGAATCTTGCTTGCATGTGAAATCAATGACACTATTCTGTACTTTCCACACTCAGTTGGGTCGCCTTTCTTTGGGATGGGAACAAATATTGACCTGTTCCAATCAGTTGGCCAAGTGGATGTTCTCCAGATTTCTTGACACAATTTGGTGAGCACATCCATGGCAGCATCTGTTAGCTGACAATTGGTATACCATCTCTTCTGGGGGCCTTAATGTTTTGCTATTTCCTTCAAAGCAGCTTGAACTTCTGCCTTCATCACCATAGGCTCTGGCTAGGCTGCATTTTCTCCAACATATGCTTGTTTGTTCTTTTGACAGTCCATGGGATATTCAGTACTCTTCTCCAACAACAAGTTCAAAGACATCAATTTCTCTTATTCATTGTCTGGCTTTCAGATTCATAGCAAATGTTTGAACAGACCATCATCTGAATCAGGCACATCTTAGGCTTTAAACTGACACCATTGC